GGTTTGTAAATTGAATTGCCAACTTACCAGCTGAGTGGTAAGTTGTCTTTGGCACAGGATGCCGCAGTTTGATTCCTGGCTGGATTTTTATTCCTGTGACATGAATATTAAATAAGGAGAGCCTAGCTACGCTTGTTAAAATTGGCTGTGTAGCATGTACCTACTTCTAGATATAATATATATAAAATAAGTAATATTGCCAGACGTTTCAGAAGATGAATCTCAGCACTTTCTGGAAATTGGAGTCCTTTACAGTGTCACATTGAATTTATCAAAAGCTCAAGGCACTTCCGAAAACTTGAGAGGTTAAAAAATTACTGTGCCTTAAGCACATACAGTGCTCAGATTTAAGTATTGTGCAGAGAGAGCATTGGGTAGATAGATTATGAGGGTGGAAGTGCCACACTGTAGGGACGGTGAGAAACATCGATGGGAGAGGTTGTTCTTATTTTAAGTTATAGTCTGCTGTTGCCCAAAGAAAGCAGAGGGTGTCAGTTCTGTTTCTCTGGATGAAATGAGCAGGCTTTTTGTTAGGCTGTGACGATTTTTGAATTGTGAAGAAGACCTTGAAATGTTAAGTCTGGCTCTTCGTCAACGAGTGTTGTGGCTTGAGGTTAGAACTGTGGGACTTGACAGATTTTAACTTGCAGACTCTGCTGCAGGATGCTGCAAATGAAGAAATAAAGATGAAAAACAACACCCTGAAGATAAAGCTAAAATTAATGGAAATGGTAGAAATGAAGATAATTGCTTAGATGTAGGTAGCTGCTCTATGTCATGTTGGAGCAGAGAATAGTGTGTTCCAGCCTGCAGCCCTGAGGTGGAGGAGAGAGCTCTCGGAAAGGCAGGCCCCTGACACAAGCAGTGAAAGATAAAAGAGGATAAAAAAGACAAAATGTTATCAGGTGCAGTCTTCTACGTATCTGCTGCATGGGTATCAATCATAGCCTGCTAACCTGTTGAAAAAGTGATACCCCCGTAATGCTGCCGATGTTCTCTTAAACTGCTGTTTGGTCTAGACATGCATGTTGATACCAAACAGGAAGGTGCAAACAAAACCTCTTATTTTCTTAACATTCTGTGTGGAAATTGCAGCATGTTGAAGAGAGTGTGGAAAGTATGGGACATGTTCTGTGACGTGGCTGCAAAGGATGCTATGAAGAGAGAAACCAGATCTCCTAAGCATTTGAGCTTGGAACTCATCTCTCATGAGTTACCAATGATGAGCCCCAGAGCAAAATACGAAGCCTTACATAAAGGGGCAAAATTTGAAATGCAGACAATCTTTTTGTGTTACTCGTTAATATAGCTTAATATATTTTATTATATAAAATATAATAAAGGGTTTGAGAAGAGTATGTGGGCACGTAGGAAAGAGGTAAAACTGTGATGAAGCTAATGGTAACCTAAGGTTTTCTTTCTTCTCCAACATGTAATAAGGGAGATCCAGTTTTATCATGTGGAGATGGGTGATAGCTTGTTGCAAGAGAATGCTAAGAAATTTTAAGAATGCTTCAGCATTTTGTCATATTTTAAGGGCATGTCCAGTTAATTTGGTGTGAGTCAAATATATAAAGCATTTGGACTGATTTAGGTAAAATTGTCTTAATGGGTTGGGAGATTAAAAATCAAGTTATTCTGCATGTGTATGAAAGGGGAAGTAAAAGAAAGGAAGGTGTTGCTAAAAGTCATGTACTTAATTTATAGGATTACAGACTTGACGGTTTGTATCTCTTCTGTCAGTTGACATAAATATGTATGGTGAATGAATTAAGAAGGGTTAGGAAACTTGTTAGGAAATCTTTGTGTTTTCTTCTCTTTCCTGTCTTCCTTCAGTGGGAGGAGAGGGGGAAAAGGCAAAGGAAAGCTGGGAGCAAGTTGACCTGTGTCTATGTTGTTAGTTTTCAAAATGATTGAAACACAAGTTGCAACAAAGCCAGTGTTTGCATCCCAAGGTTTTAAAATGCTGGTCTTGCATGTAAAAGTCAGTACAGCTATTTCCTCATCTCACGTACACTCTATCCTGGTTTGCATGGGATGAATGTAGTTTTAGGATTATTGGCAGTCCTCACCCAGGACTTCAGGGAGACCGCAGTGTGCATGTAAAAACAGAAAGCAGAAAAACATACTTTCAGGTTTAACTTTCAGTTTCTAATCTCTTAGATTTTTCTTGGAATTACAAAGAGGTGATGTCAAAACTGAAAAGTCTAGTATGCAGGGATACTTAGAATCTGCAAACTTCAGGCTTGATTTTGCAGTACATTTCCCTGTAGTGTAAGTAATAAGACCTGATTATAAAGACAATAATTTCTTTTTAATTTAACTTCTTTTTCTCCCCCCACCCCTTTTGGACCTCAGTCAAGCAAATAATGATGCCCTAATAATTTTCTGGCTTTGGTTCGGTTGCCCTGCAAAGTGTTTCTGTGCTTTAGTGCTGTGTGCTGCAGGAAAGCTTTCTGCTACTTTGTAAAAGCATTTGTGCTAAAACTAGATATAACTCTGAGTACCTATTAAAGTAAGTTTTTTCTGCCATTGTCTGATGGTGTTGCTTTTTCATGTCAATAGAATGGTATAATTTATTTTGTGCTGAATTTCATTAGGCTTAAAAATCAGCTCCTTGAAATACCCACGTATGGGCTTTGGAAGTTTTCAGCAAAGTCTGAAGGCTTGGATTTATGAATATGTTTGAAATAATTGAATGGTATGATGTGCCTTTTTAATCAGATGATCATTGCCTAATTGATTTTTTTAGGATGCATTAAAATTCCTTGTGTACTTGGTGGACTGGCACAGCGACTACTTGTGTAAAAGGGATTATGTTGCTATAATGCATATTAGATTATTTATGAAAGATAGTGTACAATAGCTATTCTTAATAGCTGTTCATAGTGGAGTATATCAGTACTTTTTTGAGTACTGATCATGAAGTAGTCTTAGTGCCTTGAGCCTGCTTGAAGTCAGTCAGTTACAATGCTTGAGCCTCAGTCTGTTCTTTTTCCCTTTTTTGCTATAGAAGTACTATAAGATGAAAGGGTGCTGATCACTTGTCCCTTTAACATTTTTTTATATTCTTGACTTGCAGAATTCAAAAATAAGCTTTGTCCGTGTCCTCGTAGTTTCAAGAGTGGAATTGTAAATATTCAGAGAAACATTTTGTCTTTTTTCCTTTTTTTAAATGTACAGATTATTTGGAGTATTAAGGAAAATATGCTGCTTGCTTTTTTCTTTTTAAGTCTTATGTGTCAGGTTTCAACTTGGGGCAACTTTTAAGGGGACAGAAAAGTTGTAAAACCTCTGGGAACGTACAGCAAGGATTT